CACACACACACACACACACACACACACACACACACACACACACACACTATCCAAAAGTTTCCTGCCATGATCTTTGACCAAAATCTCTCCTTACCCTGCTACCCTTTTGTCTTTCTGGGCTAGTGTGTGTAAAACATGATTGAGAGAAAAAGAGTTGGAGTGTGTGTGTATATTTTGCATGTGCTCGCTCTGCACCACTACCTACCTGCATGCCCATGTGCGTAACACACCAGAGGGCTGCGTAGAGGCTGCGTTCAGGCTGGTAACTCCTCATGCGTTCTCTGACTGTTCCTAAACTAGGTGTCAATTCACAACAGGCTGCAGACCTATCAACTGAGCCAGCCCAGCATTGAGTCGACACCTCTGGCCCTGGCTGCACCACCCGCCCTGCTCAGCTCCATCCAGCCTGGAGAGCTTCGCCCAGAAACACTCATCCAATGCCAGCAGATCGTCAAGGTGATTGTCGTGGACCAGAGTGGGCGAGGGCGGATGGAGGCCTTCCTCAGCCAAGGCCCGACTACCCATCAGCTCATCCAGTCGGCCATGTCCACACCTGTGCGCGTCAGAGAGGGGGATGGCCCTCAGCCTCCTCTGCCACCTCCACCTCCACCTTACAACCATCCCCACCAGTTCTGTCCCCCCGACTCACCCATGCCCTTCCACCACACCCTGCCTCTTACCCGTAGGCGCAACTCCAGCGGTTCCCGCAGCATCGTCTGAGTCGACGGCTACTCTACTAACCTTGGGGGCCAGACACAAGCCTCACACTCACATACAGCAACAGACACATGCTGGAGCACTAGTCGACTCTCTTTGATTGGTAAGATTAAAGCATTGGTAAAAAAAAATGTATTGAGGAATATACTGCATGAGTCGAGTAAAAGGACAAAGGAAAAGGAAACCAACAAGAATCTATTCATAGTCTGGGGTTGTTTTTGAACATGGAGTAGTTTTGAAAGACAACTTTTCTTCTTTCTTTTGTCTCCAACATGTCAACCAGTAGCTGATGGTGTTGTCTGTCTAGATTTCACACTCTTAAGAGATCTTGTGACTTTGCTTTTTAAATGTCACCTTTCCAACAAATGTGTCTGTGAGCTGACTGTGAAACCGAGGGGCATTGTCAGAAAAAGCAAACTCTGGCAGCCCTGAAAGGACAAGGGATCGCTTTAAATATGGAGAACAAAACTCAGTTTTGTTTTGTTCTCTTTCATGATATTGATGTTAAGTTCACACCTCTTTGTTTGGTCCAGGTTTTCAGTGTTAGATACCACTCTCAGTGAAGAATCATTTCAGCAGAGCTAATCTCGCTTCTCCTCACCGCAATCTTTTTTTCCCCTCATCTCTGCGTAATGTGAAGAAACGAGAATACCAGCTTATTTGTTTCCTTCATCTTCTAGGGAACAGATAATCAGTGTGTGAGGCAGAAGGCCAAGAAAAAGATAAACTGTTCTAGCATCTCTACCCTGTCATGTGCAGTAAAGTGCAGTAAGCAAGGATGTTGCTACTCACTAAACTAACCTAAAACCACATCCTGACGACAATCATATTTTCCTGTCCTTAATTGTTGTGTGTTTTGCTAAACTTGTGTGAGAAGAAATCTTCACAATAGTGTGTGACTGCCCTGATTCTGTGGCATTTTGCTCCCACAGAGCTCAGGAGATTATTTGCTGCACTGTAACATGTAATATCTGAGTTGTACTGAGAGCAGCGTGCGTGTGTACTGTGCTCAGTTTGCTTACTCATGGGCAGCAGGGAGTAGGGCTGGTAATTAATCCAAAACAAGGCTGCAATAGCCAGAAGGAAGCCTTTCTCCTGCTGGACACTTACTTCTAATGGGTTAAATAGTGTGAATACTGTTATTACCTTTGGATTTAGGCAGTATCTGTGCCCAGAAAACTCTTAACTTTTGTTCAAAAATTGATATAATTTGCTCCACAAACGGTAGATCAAGGTCACCTCACAAAAACATCACTCCCCGCTCACGAATTATATTTTTCCTTGCACACTGAAAGTTATATAAGCAGAGTTGCATTTCTATACTGAATGTTAATTAGGGGGAAAACTGAAGATGGAATAACATGGAGTAATCACTGATTTCATCATCGGGTTGTCCGTCCAGTTTCGATGGTTCGAGCTTGAGCCAGTTTGTACAGCAGATTGCAAATCATCCAACTGAGACACACCGAACATGTCTTGTACCTTTTGCACCACAGAATATATTGGATATATTGTAAATAGATAATATAGATTTATTCTGAAAAAGTGGTTGGTTTGCCCAGTGTGTATCTACGTATGTATTTGTACAGAGAAGAATCTAGTTTAAAAAAAAAAGGATATTATAGTTATTATAGCTATTATTATTATTCGCATTTAATGTGAGGGGGCGTCCTAAATCCTACTGCAACGAGAGACGGGAAACAGGCAGCTTTTGTAGAACACACTCCAGTTACCATGGTAACACACACTGATATTAATACAGATCTACATTCATCATGAAATTATAGCGTCGTATTATTATAAAATAATCAAGAGATGTTAAGCCTGCCAAGGTGTGTAAAGGGCTATGTTGTATTGATGAATATGTGCAGTGAAACACAGGTCATGCACACACGTGCATACACAACCACACACACACACACACACACACACTGACATACACACACATGCACATAGCTGCTAAAGCACATCTTAGAATCAACTTAGAGACTGATTTCTCAAGTCAGCTACCCCACTTTGTTTCCTGTAAACTCTGACTGACTTGTACTATACAGCATGATATTGTTTTTTTTGTTTTTCTCATTTACAGTACACGGGGGCAGATTAATTATATGTTGTATCATTATTGTCAGGGCATGTTGGGCTGGTTGATGTCATTTTCTCCCCTTCCTCCTCTACTTCCTTTCTGCCCCCCCCCCCCGCCCCCCTGCCTTCTCCATGGTTGTCATGGAGACGCACCAATCTGCATCCTCACTGTGGAGCACTGTCATTAATCTTTGCACCCTCACAATATTTCTAAAAGGGAGATTTCTTAAAGATCAACATGTTTACTAATGGAATATTTCTAATTTTTTTTTCTGTTCAAAGAGAATGAAAGAATAAAGTAGTTTTTACTCTCGGTCCTGAACTGTCCGTCTGTGTGTGTGTGTGTGTTGACGCCGGAATCGTCTCCACAATGTCTGCGTCTGTATCACTCCCGGCCTCTGTAATGAATGAATGTGCTCCAGGTGTGCAAGGAGGACGGTGGAATGAAGGCGCTTATGGGAAATCAGTCTGCACAGGTGTTCCAGTGTCCTCCCAGCACAGTGGGCCCGAACTCATTCATTAACAAATGAGAAAGCAATATTGAACCTGACTTGTACTTGTGGACTGTCAAGTTGTGTGTTGTCGTGAGTCTGCATGTGTGTGCGTGTGGGTGTGTGTGTGTGTGTGCACGATTTAGAATACATAATTTCCCATGGATGCTGAGTCTGTCCTCTAAGCAATAAGACGAGCAATTTGTTAATTCGCAGGAAAGTTCAAGTGTTTTAGCGTTAAGTGTCATGGTCAGAGAAAAAATACAAGTTACTTTTATTTTTGCAAATCACTCTTGAGAAAGGATAAACAAAACAGAAATGCTGCCAACACTTCAACATAGTCAGAATTAAAACGAGATTCCGTTTTGGCTGAATAAATTAGCTTACAAAAACATAGGTAACATCAACATAATACTTACAATACTCAGTGAAATCAATTTGTGCAAAGTATCTGTATAGGCTTACAAATGTGAAGAAGCTATCACACTCAGCTCACCGCTTTGCTCTTTTCTCCCCGTCGTTTCTGACATTCTTTGTCACTGTCTCACCCCTTTTGTTTCTCTCACTCGCTTTGAAAACTAGTGGCCAAGAGGTTCATTAAATGGAGGACTGTACTGAGAAGTGGGTTGAAGTGGAGCAACAAAGTCTTAGTTGACTGACAGATCGTTCAGTTCAAACAGTGCTGTTCGCTTCCTGTTTCTCCTCCTCCCTCTAACCTCGTGTGCTGGAGGCGGCCAGTCCAGAGTCTGTGCACAGGTTGCCTTCCAACAGGCCTCACTCTCCCCCAGGCAAAGGTGTCCCCTCAGTCTTTACATAGTGGTCTCTTCCCATTCCAGCTCAACATCACCTGAAGACCAGTACACATGTGTGGAGTGAGCACTGTGCACGTGTGTTTATTCAAGTGTGTGGGTGCATGTGAGTGTGTTTATATGTTGTTTACCTTCCATGGCATCCAGGGAGTCCATCTTCTCCAGAGCTGAATAGCTGACAAACCAGATGGATTGGCTGTTGCCTTTGTTGTTTAGAAGTTCCAGTGTACTTTGGTGCAGGAAGATGTACTGGGCCTGACACGCACACGCACATACACATTTACAGACACTGAGCAGAAGTCCATAATATCCAATTGGTGTAGAATTGAGTCGGGTGTCCTACTGGCTTATGCTGGTGATCATTTCAATACAACAACCTTGATTTGTGTCCAACTGTCTTCTGTCTGTTAACGGCAATAAAATAATACACATTGTTTTTGTTACGAAATACTGGAAAGAGCAAATTGATTTTGGATTGCTTGAATGTAAATCAATATTATGTCACTTGACATAAGGCTTTTATTCTCTCTTTCAGGACACAAACCTAACAGAGCTGGTTTACAGATTTAATTCCAATTTGGACAGACAACATTTTAAAGACTCAAACCTAGACTACAATAGTTGGAAATGATTACTGGATATCATATTTCAAGATGGCTTTCCTCTTAAATAAAAGTGTCTCACTGAGTGCATATGCTGAAAAAAGGTTTTCAGGCTTCCTCCTGTTTTTTGGCCCATAGACGATACTCATTAGAGCGCTTCTCTGGCTGAGTGGAGAGAGACGGACGCTTGAGACCGCCGTGCTTCAGATGAATGCACAGAGCCACTCTTTTGTTTGGACCATGATGGACAATGATGACTTTCACCCCTGAAAGAATTTGGTTTACTTTCTATCTGCGTCTATTTGTTAACCTAAATGAACCAAAACCAAATGAGATCAATAGACAGCTGTTGACCCGAGGAGAGGACCTGAGCAGGCCTGACCGAGCTGGCCCAGCCACTGCAGGGAATGAGTGGCGCTATGGCAGAAAGTTAGTCCAAGTCACTGTGGTTCAGTTATGGTCTGCATCATTTATCATACGCATGGCCTGTTAGAAGCTGGTATATACATAAAGTAATTAATTCCTCTAGCCTAACAACAATTTGTTTTACTAGTCTACCTGTGCTGTGTCACATTGTACCTACTAAAGCTGAATTTAAAGCAAATGTGTTTGTACAATCTGCCTCATGAATTCATAGCTTTATTCAATATTGGTGGATGTGGAGATATATGAAACGCCTGTTAAATTTGTCATTTATTATCATTTTATAGTAAAAAAAAACATTTTTGGAGCCCAAGAATGGAAAGCAAAGTAGGATCCTGGAAGTATGAAGTACCTTTGCAAGATCTGATTCATATTTACAATAACTTCAACATTTCCTTTTGTTTTTACTTCGACAGCAAGTGTTTTAGAGAAGTTAAAATGTGGGCTTGTTTAAAGCTGTCTGCAACATTGTAATAGTATATCTAATATCTAATATTGTGATGGCCTCTTAAAGCCAAAGCTCTTTTTCTCATATTTACTGGACTACAATGCTAACAGCTAGCTGTCTGGCACACTCAACACTGCTGTCTCAAAGAATCAAGCAGCTCTTGTAGCTGCAGACACTGCAGGCTCATACTTTCAAACCAAAAGAAATGCACAGAACATCTAGAAATAATAAGACCATAATACTGAGGAAAAGCACAGGCACTAGGCAGAGGGTCCCTGCAGGCACTGAGACATACACCACTGCTCTGCGAGTAATGACTGAATCGGGTAATTTTAGGATATGTTCATGCTGTTTTAAGGGGGGAATCCTGCTCAGCATATGTCTTTAATCCACCGCCAGATCCTTTCCCTTTGTCAATACAAGAATTTACCAGATGTTTTCTCGTGGGGATGGGATCACAGCAGGACATGAATTAAAAAAAAAAAGTAGGACAACTAGACTGCCATTTGTGAGTCTTTGATGATTCTTAAGTGTACTGGAACAACTTAAGACAACACACTGTATAATAACCCTTTTTTTGTCTTTTGTTTATTCTCTCTGGGTTGTGAAATTCAACCACAGGAATAAAATACATGACTGTATTTGAATTGAACTCACCAGATTCTGTACCATGCACATCCGCTCCCTGCGGAGTTCAGCCAGCAGGCCATAAATATCCACAAAGTCGTGATCTCTGACGTGCTGTATAAGGTGGTCGAGAGCGATAAACACACCTGTTCTGCCCACACCAGCACTGAGGAACAATGAGAGATGGACTTTGTTGATGAAACTCCATTTTGCCACCAAAAACAGAATAAAGTTCACTTTACTTTAATGACTTTGCTATAGTTTATGCAGTGTCAATAAACTACCACTGCCATGATACCTGCAGTGGACCACTATAGTGGTGTTGTTGTGTCTGTGAGCTCGGACAGCTTTCACAAACTTAATGAGAGTGCTGCAGGACTCTGGGACTCCGTGCTCAGGCCACGATGTGTAGTTGAAGTGGCGAACCAAAATATAGTGCCCATGCTGCACAGAGGAATTTATACAAGAAAAAAATACAAGTACAATTAATATGAAATGTAGATAAAAATGTACTTAGCAAAAGGTTTTGTGTTTGCCAGAAGTGGAACAAATAACTCTCTACACAGAAGATCAACACCACTCTCATATCTGTCAGTTCATTATGAAGCAGGAGACTGTTAGCTCAGCTTGGCATAAAGACTGGAAACAACTTCGCATGTGTGCATGAGGGGTTGTTAGCTTAGTTACCTTTTCTACTTTCAGGGTTCTGACAGTCCAGTCAGGAAGGACTTCCTCTGACACCTTTGAGATGAGAATGTCACTAAACACAGACATTGGCTTATTGTCCTCTGGCCAATACTTGTGACACCGAATCTGAAATGTCACACACACAAACACATCAGATCTTCGCAGCAGATATAACCCTCCTTCTGTTAAGGAGCCCAAAACGGAGCCCCGCTTGTTCTCTGAATATTATTTCATAACAGTGGAAAATCTCTCATAACACACTCTGCCTTTCTCATAACACTGAGTGAGCATGGCGATGGTGTGGGTTCCCGTTTCCCAGATCATTCTCCAAAAGTCAGCCACTGTGCCAGGCAGAGGACCCTGGGTGGCTATGAACTCATTTGGACAAAGGTAGCCCTAGAAAACAGAAAAAGAGAGGCAAGTGATTATATTCGCTAACTCAAAAATCACTCCAGCAACATAAAGACCTATTGAAATTATAAAACATTATTCACTCGCAAAATCTTGAAAAGGTTATCTATCCTACAGAATCACAAAAGGACAGGGAAATCTCTAGAACAAACTCCTCTCATGCGGAGGAGTTAACCACTGGGCTTTTAGCATCTGAAAGCTGGCACTCACTGAGACAAAGCTGGCGTTGATGTAGTCAGAGCCCGCAGTGCCCGGTTCAGACAGCAGTTTCACTCGGTTGTTATTGTCTGGACACAGTTTAGTGAGTTTAGTGAAATGCAGCTGATGTGAAATCCATTTGCAGTTAATGGTAGAACTAACACACATAATTTTGAGTATACTATAAGTATCATGACTCTAGAATGTTAATTTTCAGCCTGATCACTTACAAGGTTTGATGTTGGGAAAGCGGTTCTTTGATTTGTTCCAGGGCAGGTCTGCATCTGTGGTGGCCAGGTCCTGCAGCAGTTTTGGAAGCTCCTTGGGAGATAATATGTAACACATCAGTATTCAAATAGACACACAGACATGAGGTCAAATGTCAGGGCACGTATTTTGAACTTAAAAAATAAAACAAAAATGTCCCTTTTACACCTACTTCAAAGTTATTGGTATTACATTTTTCTTTACTTAAAAAATACTGTTAAAATCCAGAAAGCGGCAGAAGTCTGTAAGTTGTGGTCTTAGATGGATGCAGTAGAGAAAGAGGTAAGCACGCACCTTCCAGCAACTATATAATTTGTCAAAAATGACAAATAAAGCAGGGAGAGGTGCAAAAAAAAAACAATGACAAAAGCTTTTATTGATTTTGTTTGCAATGACTTTCCATGCGTCTTCACTGTCTACACTAAATTCGTATTATTATCTGCTTTCTGTGATGGACCTTGTGATGGACCAAAAGCAGACGTTTCTTCATGCTCCATTTATTTAGTCAATTCCGGGAGATTTTCTGTTATTTCATCCCATTTTATATGTTTCTACATTCTACACAATTATGATAAACACTGGTCCAGGTTGTAGGAAAACACTTACAGCAAACTCCTCTTGGAACTTAGCATTGTCATTGGCACACAGATCCTCTACGTGCTGCAGAAAAGACTTCTTGTTGACGGGCCTGACAGAGAGGTAAGGGGATGAAATACATCGAATGTGAGGAACAGAGAGAAATGTAAAAAAGCTCTGTAACAACATGCTATTTTCTGCTAGTTTATTCTAAGATAAAACATATTCTTTATACGGAGCCATACAGAGCATACTGATCTATGCTGCAACTATTGTGTGTATATTCATTATTTATGCAGGATGACTTACTTGAGTGATTTCCTGTAGCTGAGCAGCCTGGACAAAAATAGACAGCAAACATCAACCAAAAATAATCAAATTAACTAAATAATCACAACCCACACTGTGGTATTTCTGTCCATGACAACTGAACTGATCCTCATTGCAAAGAGTACATGGCATAGTATGTTAAAGCAGAGGAGGTTTAACCATTTATAATCAAATCCACTTTGATTAAACACGTTTGACACTCTGATGTTCACGTTTCTTTACAATGAAACATGTGGTCATTCCCTCTATGGATGTTGTTTCTTTGCATTACTGAAGACTTGTCGCTACGCAGATCTTTCGCTTTCCACTTATGCCCTCTAAGGCCGCCAAGCTTTCCAAGCAATTTTGAGATAGTGAGTGGGTAAACAAATTAAAATGGTCTCAAGCAGAGGAGTGTCTGCACAGCTCTACAATTCCTGCCAGTGATGGAGGAAAAGGAATAAGGCTGAAACGCTGATGTCACTCGTTCACGCAACTGGCTACGTCCATGAAAGGTTTTATAAGCAACACGGATGGATGATTTAAACCTTAATGGGTAACATGACAATGACACCCACATAGTGATGACTGAAAGGTGGAATGCAACATGCAAAGAAAGCATACACACCAAAATGTGGCACACACATGTCAAAAAGCCCAACTTACTGGATCACATAAATCTCTTTCCGCCTAAAGAAGAAGGAAGAATACCTGGTGAGAGAAAAGTGCTCAGTTTGAGAAAAACAAAGCCAAGGTGAGCCGATGCAAGTGCTGTGCAAGGAATGTTATTTGTGCCATTCGCGTGACAAGAATCAAGAAAAAGTGTGTTATCATATCATAAACTGAGTTTAAAAATGTGGTGTTTATACAAATCTCAGCTCCAATAAAGCAGAGAGATACACGAACCTAATGATGCCAACTTACAAGACAGCTGGCGCAGCCAAGCGGTGATCACAACATGCAACGGTGAAAAACCTACAATCATGCTTTTTTGGACATTTAAAATGAGTGGAAAGCAAAGTATCCTCAGGAACTGCCTCCTTTTTCAGGACTACAAAGAGTCACTGCAAAAATGTTTTATTGGAAGTTTATTAAGGAAGGCAAATATTTGCTCAAGTAGGTTCTGTTATATTACTTTACACATACAGTAAGAGATAAGGGACAGCTATCTGGCAAGAAGAAGCCCTTTTATTTATCCATCTTCTCTCATGTGGGCTTTATGTTTTTATGTTCCTGTTCATTCAATTCCTCTTGAAGACAAGCCACATTTTACGACGTCCTTCACGAACCCCTGTATTTTTGGTTTATTTTTGTATTTTGTCATTAAGTAGGTGTTCTTTAGATGTTGGGGATGGAGGGTGTTCAGAAAGTTTATGCTTATTGGTTGTTCCGATGCTGATTGGAAAATAAATATATAAAAACTATTTTATTTGTACTACTCATGTTAAAAGCTTTTCTATCTTGTAGTTTCTTGCCTCCTCTTAGCCATCGGTGACCTTAATACACCAAAACTAACACTGAGTTTGACATTGTTTCTCACCAGCTTGCAGCACTTATTGTCTGCACACTTGTTAGTGCCAAAGCAGAAAAACAGAAGGGCCTTGATGCTGAATTTGTATGAGAGGATGGTTGGAGAGATGCAGGCAGGATGACTTGTCTGTTCTGCAGAGAACTGAAGATAAACTATAAAGCCACAATAATGCTGTGTTATTTCATAGTGCTGCTGCTTCTATTTTCTGCACACACTCTACAACACTAGAAGGTTTTGTGCTGGCAGGAGCGCACATGAAGTTAGCTGCAGCAAAGAGATTTTTGTCTTGTTGACTTGGATTTAATATCTTGTCTGCAGCAGCTAAATCAAGCCTGAACTCATGTAGTGTGCAGCCAGTCTTAGCTGCGAACAATGTGTGTGTTATACTTGGTAAAGTGGTGCTTTTAGATTACAACTGAACACACAGACTAACCGGTTGAGTTTTTCTTGTTTCAGCTCCAGATCCGCTACAGCGATCAGCTGATCCAGTTTACACTTTGTCTCTATGATCTCTGCCTCTCTGGGTGAATAAGTCCCGCCCTCCTTCTTGCGCTGGTGGATCCTAACATGTCAATAAAATTTAGTTAATAACAAGGTAAATGCAGAGTAAAAATCAGATTTTTTGCAAATCATACAATGCAAAATTTGCTACACATTATGTTCCACATTGTAATTTTTGTGCTTTGACACTAAATTGCAATCAATGTTGCATATGAATGTTGGCAAACAATTGAATGCCTGTTGCCATCTTACTTGACAGAGCCACAGATGATGATGATGAGCAACACAGCCAAAAAGAAGGAGAGCAGAACACCCAGAATGATCTGCTCTTCTCTCGTCAACAGCCCGTCCGCTACAGAGAGAGGGAGAGGAGAAAGAGGTGACAACATCACACAGGACTATAGAGGTTTTATATTACATTTTTTGGATTTAGAGAAATACAGATATGAATATAAATACCTGCAGTTTTGACATGATCCGAGTACTCAGAGTCTGTGTATTGGCCATTGATGTTCGTGGCTCTGAACTTGAACCTGGTAAATATGGAACAGCCTAATATTATTATAAAACATGTACATACAATGAATTTTAAATTGTTGTGGGGTTGAGTGTGTCTTGCACTCACACATAGACCGTGTTTGGCTTCAGAGGCCCATTGCAGAAATTGTCAGTGTTGTTCTCCTTTATACAGTCATTATTCCCTCCGATCACGTACGTTCCTGCCGTAGTGTGATTTTGTCTCACTGCAGGCCGACCCCCTGCAGACACAGTGCGACCACCTCTGACGTGCGTGTCTGTGCGCAATGCCCCGTCCCCCAAAGAACATGGCGGGTTGGGGAACCCCTTGTCGGTCAGGTAAGGGGCAGGACGATCAAAAAAGGCATTCTTCCAGTCGGTCAGGTTCTGGATGTCCTTTACTGTGACAGGATGAGTGAGTCAGTTAGAGAGGAAAGGAATCGCAGGGGGAATGAGTCAAATTTCGGCTGACGTTAATCCCTTTTGCATACATTTTGACTTTTGTGAGCTTAGGACAGAGTGACGTACTGTAAAACAAGATTCTACTTGAGGCTTAAAGCCAAAAGCAAGGCTGATACCCAAGTGTATTAAACTAAAAGTGATGGCTGTCAATATTTTTGAAGAGTCATACCCCCTGACTCGGCCACGATGACCTGAATTTCTTGGATTGGTCCGTTGTCATCCCTATAGAAACAGGCAGGCATGCGGATGGTGATACTCCTGTGGGTTACCATGGCAACCCCTCCATGGCCTAAGACTGCCTCAGGTCTTTGGGTTGGCTTGGATGGGGCTTGAACACACGCATGCGTGAGCACAGAGGAGCGTGCACACACACACACACACACACACACACACACACACACACACACACAAACAAACAGACAGACAGACAGACAGACAGAGGTTGTTGTGTGCATACAGTGTGAAGATGTGGAATTAGTCTGATGCATTTACATATAAGTCATGACAAACAGACCACTGCTCAGTCCTCTACATCATCAACACACATCTGACAATATTGCTGAGTTACATTTGCTGTGTCAGAATAGGCCTGCAGTGATACTGTGCAGCAGCAATTCTCTGTTTTCGCAAAAAATGCTGCAACAAGAAAGGGAGAAACCCTGTGGAGGGATCCGGTGCACACACACAATACAGAGGGACTGGTACCTGTGATCCCTGTAGTTATCTGGACATGTGGGCTGGGTGGGCTCCTACCAGCCCCGTTCTTTGCTGAAATCTACAGACAAATAGAAGAAAGGAGGGAGAGGGGGACAAGCACAAAAAGTAGTCAAAGAAAATTTGACCAACATTAAAGTTGTTTGGGTTTGGGCTGTGTGTATGTGTGTGTGTGTATAATGTGTGTGTGTGTGCTTCACCTGTATGCTGTAGCTGTGTCCTCCCTTTAGGCCCTCTATGACAGCACTCATCATGTTTTGGTCTCTTTCTGTGATATTAAGGCTGATGTTCTTGACCAGATGGTCTTTTTCGTAGATGTACACAAAGTAAGCAGTTATGTTTCCGTTGGGCTCCTCTGGAGGGGTGAAAGTCACCTTCACACGGTTCACTTCCTCTGGGATAACTGATACCATCACATTCTTGGGAGGGTCTGTGGGCTCTTGGGACAGAGTAACAATGACATGAGAAATAATAATGATTTGGGTATCTTTACAGGTGGGCAGAAGCCTGATGCACCCAAGATGTAAATTTCCACGTACCCTCCTCCATTGTCTGAAATTCAATAGGCCCGATGGATTTCCCATCACTGGCCGCGTACTCCAACGGACCAGTGAAAGCAGTGATAGTCACCAAGTAACGAGTGAAAGCAGTCAAGTTAGTCACAACGACAGTCGTCAACTCTCCTGGAGCTCTGACTGTTGAGATGTTCAAACCAGGACCATCCACCTGGTGTGACAGGAGAGTTCATGGAAATATTTAATGCTTGTATGTGGATGAGCAGAGTTGGATTAATTTCATATGATTCGCATTTTAACACACCGTATGTGAAAAACTCAGAACAGATCAACACAGAGGTATGTTGGTCAAAGAACATCTGTGTGTTTTACAGTTATTGGTGACATGTTGCGTTTGTGTAAAACCAAAACTCAATGAACTGACCTGCACAAGATACGAAGTCGGTCCAGAGAGAACAGCTGGAGCGTCCCATGAAATGCGAAGGCCGTTGGAGGTGGGCATCACTTTTAGGTCCCGGGGAGGGTCATCAGGGTCTGAGGGAGGAGATAAGGGAAACACAGAATGCTTATGATGTGCTATCAAATCAAAAGAACCCTGTTAAATGTTGCTTTGTTATCATGCCAATGTCGATTGATGCTTCCAAGACATTAACTCTTTGAATGTAAGCCATGCTTTTGTGGTCATGTGGCCTCTAAAGTGTTGTTTGCCTTTTATGTATGCGTTTGTCGCGATTGTGAATTAGCTGTGAAGTATTAATGTGGACAGGGGTTACGACTCTGCAGCCTGCTTGTGTTTTAATATTGTGCACTGCAATGATGAATCATGTAATTTTCCACTGATCTACTATCAAACCCATTCATATATTCAGATGTTTCTGTCATTTCAATTCTAGAGTAAAAATACTGCTACTATTATTTAAAAGAATAATAACAGGGTTTAACAAGACAAACTGCCACATCACAGTAAGTGCAGGGTAGCAACACAGTGCTATGAGAATGTGAACCACTCAAAAAACAAGAAGAGGAGGTAGTGGACAGCGTTTTCTGCTACTTATGAATGCTGAATCTCTGAACAACTCAAACTTGCTATAATACTATAGCATGTGAAGAGAAAGATTTCCCTTGATAGCGAGATACAATTTAAGTTTGTTTAGGTCTTGTCAAGAAGATGCCCAAGTTACTTATGAAAAACCAAACATCAATCTAGATAGGATTACATTTATTCTTGCTGGAATTCCTGGAAATAAATACTGACTAACTGCAACCCTCCCCTGGCAACACAAAAAGATACCATCACTACGACGCTCTTACTTCCAGCCAGTGTACGTGCGTAATTCCAGTGTGTATATTCCCCAACTCCAGCGTTGGTCACAGCAGCCACTTTGAAGCGGTAGTATCTGTACTTAGCCAGGGAGTAGAGTGTGACACTGTGGTTCTCTTCAGTGCCATCCGAAGCATTTACTGACACTGTGGCATTAGAGTCCACGCAGTCTGATGTCAGTTCGTCCTCTGGGGCCGGCTGTGCAGTAGTTAGTGTGTTTGGTTCACAAACAGTTGAAAGCAGCTGTGCAATGATGTGGTACTCTTTCAGGAGGCCTGGAATTGAAAACGGTGGAGCCCACTGAAGTGTCACATTGTTAGGTGTGACCTGAGAGATGGTGAGGAAGCGAGGGGCAGCTGGGGCTGTTAATGTAGACAAAAGGATTGAATGAGGTATCCATTCAGTATTGCTGTATATTAGCAATTAAAAGCCAAAATGTTGCACGATACAAAAAAACTGACTACCTGATTCAGGAAGAGTGGAAGTAGTACAATTCAGTCCGTCTCCGGGTCCTGCAGAGTTTACTGCGGCAACAGTGAGTGCATACTTCTGGTCTGGAGACAGCCCAGTCAACGTGTACTCTGGTGTGTGAGCCTGGTGCGTGTAGGACTGTGAGTCTACCTCCACTAGAATCTCATAAAAAATGATCTGCCCATTAGGGTTGGCTGGAAGTTCCCAAAACAGCTGTATTGAATCCCAGCTCACTCCTGAGCAAGAGAGGTTCCCCACAGCATCAGACACTGCAGACAGAGAGGTGATACAGTGGAATTGTTATCCTAACATCAGCTTTGGTTGGCATTCTTCACTGTCCACTGTAAGAGGAAAGAACCAAAAATGATGTCAGTACTGGCCTGTTGCACAGGACTCTGAATAACTGGAAACAAAAACTGTGCAGTCTGCAGACAGACTTAACACAATCATTACCACCTTTTATTTATCTATTTATCATTGGTTGCACAGCTGCTCTGCAGTAATGACCTGCTGCTCTAGAGGGGAATCACATTTGGCTTATCTCGTGGTATGAAAAAACTGACTACCTGATTCAGGAAGAGTGGAAGTAGCTGAGCCTTTTTCACAATGACATACAGATGTGCTTGAGGAAAAAGCAGCAGCATCTCCACTGCCTACACAAACTAAACCTCTCTGGAGTAGGCTGTAAAATACTTCCAATGTTTTATACCTCTTTATGTTTAAAATGTTTAATTTACTAGCCGACTTATATTTATTTGTTTAAACAAGAAGATCTGATTACTGATTGTTAGGCGTTAAATTACTGACAAAACACAGAGATTCCTTGCATATCTTTGGGGTGGCCTTTGTAATTATCAGTGATCCCACAAATACTCTTCATGACTTCTTAAGCCAATGGCATCAGTAATACGTTTCAGATTGACTGTATTCAAAACAAATAGAATGTTTGGATTTATCTCAGCATCAATAACAATGTTATGATTGATAAATGCATTTGCACTTGCGTGCCTTCGTGGTGTCGTACACTGTTGGCCAGGTATGGACTAGTCATGTTTTGTATTTTTTAGATGCATGTGGATGAAAGTTGTGTTTTTTGTGTGTTTTTATGTCAGTGAAGCAGCTTTCCTTTAGTAGCCCCTTAAAGGACAAATAGGGTATTTCAAATTGAATATACTGTACAAACCAATTTTGAACCACAAAATTGTGAGCAGTGACCTACATCAGTGAAACATCCCTTCTGGGCAGACAGTGTGTACTTTACCTGACTCGTTAGTGGTGAAGGTCACTGGGCTGCTGAACTGATTCCCATGGCCCACTCTGGTGTAACTGTAAACACTGATCTCATAGGAGCTATGAGGCCTGAAGCCTGATAGATACTCTGTGGTCGACGGACCGGAGGAATTCTACACACACACATAAAAAAAAACGACAGATTAGATGGAGATTAAATCATCCAATACTGATCACTGGAGTGGATAATATCTTATTGTATCAGCACACATACGTGCATGTATGTGTATGTATAATGTTACTGCTATATGGTATCTGGAATGTGAAATTAGAGCTACCGTAAGTGTGACTGTGTGGACTCTTACAGAGTGTGTCTCTGGAGTGTGTGTGAGTGGGAGTGTTGTTATTGTGGAGAAGCTTTCGGTGTGTGAAATTACCGGTACCTTATGTGTGACCGTGTGTGTGATGAGGTTACGGATCCTGAAGCCGTACTGTATCACCACTCCATTGGGCTCCAGAGGAGGCTCCCAGCTCAGCCACACAGAGAATGCTGTGTGGTTATATATAGTCAGGTTACGGGGAGGCGACATGGGCCCTGAAACACAAAGTGAGGCAGTTAGAGAGGAAGACTAAAACAGACAGCAGATATACACCCATAGTTTCATGAATAAATATCATCTAATTAGGATTTTAGAGACAATTTCAATTTCAAACTAACCTCCTTCATCGGTGTGCAGCTGCACCAGCAGATAAGGCCCTGAGCCTTTACGTGTTGCAGCAGTAATAGTGAGGTTGTAAGCTGTGTATGGAAGCAGGTTTGTGAGGATGAATGAGGTGCTGGGGGTATGAGTTGTGTTGGAGCCCCCTGGGCCAAACAGAGTGAGGGTATACTCTGTTATCTTCCCGTTGGTCTCCAGAGGGCGCTGCCAGACCATTGCGATAGAGGAGGACGACAGATTCCTGGAGGACACCAGCAATGGAGCCGAACTAGGAACTAATGAGAAACGGTTTAACAATTAATACATGAACCATACTCCAGAAGTGAACGTTTATGTAGATGAACTCACTATCATCATCCGTTCTCAGATACATTGTGCTAGTATGGTTGTAGGCAGCGCCAGCACCAGTTGCAGGGGTAACAGTCAACACATAAGGAAAATACTTCTTGAGTCTGGTGAATAGGAAGATATTGTCAGTTGTGGTATGATTGATGGTCTTGTTGACAGCTGGAGCCCCTTGGTTGGATATGTCTGGGGGGATGCCAGCCTCCTGTAAGGTGAGCAGGTAGCTGGGACGGCCGTTCGGCTCCATGGGAGGGTCCCAGCTGACGATGATGGCTGTGGAGCTGAAGATCTGAGCAGTCAGGTTTCGGACTGAGTCACTTGGCACTAAAGGATTAAACAAGAATAACTGTGTCACTATTATTAACGTGCAGTGACAACACTGGTTTAAATCCTAGAGCATTTTGATGCGTTTATTGTACTACGAGGCAGTAAATTATGGCATCAATCAGCAACACACAGTGACATTTGAAGGAAAATGAACAGCGCACCAGACATCGTCATAATTTTCACAAGCAGGTTCATAATCATTGGCAGCATTGTTGTAATTAACAAAATCAACAACAGCACATCACATAGAACAATATGGCATGACATCACTTTAACAACACAGAAACACAGCAAAGTAAACCAGCACAGTGAACAGAAACAATATCCTACAAAATAAAAGACATACAGAGGGATTTAGGAGGGAAACTAGCTCGCTGAAAACCTTGGAAAGGAAAGGAGTTGAGGAGAAAATACTCATCCTGTTCATTGTCAGCCCCTCCAGAAATAACGTGGTACACAGAGAGGAAAAAAAGTGGAGATGAAGGAGAAAACGGGAGATACAATTTGAGAGATCCATAAGATGAGTGAGTGGATGTGTGTGGGTCTGAGCCTAGCAGGGGGCTTGGCTGTGCGGGAGAGACATGGTGCCTTGAAGATCCGGTGCTTGGCTGAGAGTGGAGCAGCTAGAGCACAGGCAGAGATACAAAGTCAGTATGAGCAGTGATCATTCAGAGACAGTGAATACTATGTTAGCGAGAAAATAACAATGTACAAAAATGAACTGTGTGTGACAAAGTCTGTGGCGGCTGTCTGCACCATTTTTCCCAAAATAACATAAAAACAAAGAGATCAGTTTTTACACTGATGGTATCAAAAAGACTAAGTACAACTAAATATTAAATACAAATTTAGGTTCTGGGGCAACAATGGACAGCACAAACGTTCTCAAAGCACATCAGGCTTTGTTTTTTCTCTTCTCTTTTCTCTCTGTTTTTTTAATCCCCCAAAACTTTCGGCATGCTTAGCGAAAGAAAACACAAACTGGCTGTCTTCAAGGCAGTGTCACAGGCGGACAAAAACAGAGCCAGTTTGTCAGACTAACTGTTATCCCCTTTCACTAACAGGCTGAAAGTCACATCTTCAATCGCAGAGTTCTTATGTAATTGTCTTTTTGGAAGTTTTGAAAAAAGGGTGCAGACTCACCCTCCGGTGAATCATTGTATGTTGAATCATTGTATGTAATAATTATCTGGCACTATGTGTGGTATTTCATGTTTATATCTATTATTTTTAAACTTATTTATATTTGTGTATATGGAATCGTGTTAGTGTGTGCGTCTAACTGACCGTCCTCCGGTAAGAACAGGTTACGTGGCTCGCTCTGGACCCCTCCGTCCCCCTGCACTGTGCTGGAGGTCATCCACAGGGTGTAGTTTGTTCCCCCAATCAGCCGGGTCAGAGTGTAGGAGAGAGCTGAATCAGGAGATGCAGGTGCAGGTAAGTCTGAAAGAAGAACCCTCTGTGGAGAAAAAAGGAGCATTAGTTTTTTTCAGACATTGAAATACAAATTTAATCAAGAGCAAAATGTGTGCTTTATATACACAGATGATCAACAAATGAGAGGAAAGCCCAGCATTGAGTGTCTTGGTCAGGTGTTGGTCCACCACAAGCCATCAGGAAACATCCACATTTATTAAGTTTCACCACTCATTTATTCTGATCTTTTCTTTAGCGCAGTATTGTTTTGTGTGCCCCTCGGAGGCTGCAGAACAGGCTGTTTAGTATCAATAAAGTACTATGCATTATTAATAGTTATTCATTTAAAAAAATCCAGCAGACAAGAAGCAACATTAGCATTTATTTGGAGTCAGGTTTGTGTCCTCTCCACCAACTCCTGAGAGAAATATTGGTCTCTTTAGCTGCTATCAGCTTCACTATGTTCACCATCTAGAACTTTGCTGTTCGGTGCTGAGCAGGTAGCGTATAGCAAGTTAAACTGAAAATAACTGCCTGCTGCTGGAACAAGGTTTTTGATATCAGTGCAAGGAAACCAAACCAGTCAAGTTGCAGGTTGAAAAACCAAAACAATGAGTGAAAAGTCGCTCAAAAGCTTTGCACAGTATGGCTGACAGGAAGTGCCAAGTTCAGTGATAATTCTCTGAAGGTTCGTGACCACGAGCGACACCTTTCACATTACATATAGCTATTTTTTTGGGCTGTCCCTCAACCAAAAAAAGTATTAATCTACAGATATAGTCTTACACTCATACGATTTTGTCGACTAATCAATTAGTTGATTTCATTGATAGATCTTAAAAATGTTGTTTTTCTATGAAGAATTAAACAAAAGCACTGATTTGAATCTTGTGCTCAGAAGTTCCTTGGTAATGTGTCATTCATCATGAAGAAAAGCATTAAAAACAACTAAAATAATAAAGAAATCTTCGTTGACTAAGACCACAATGACCAATTAGTCTAATAGATAGTTCTAACTGCTTGACCCATTTTTGTGAAATGGAAATATTGATTCGTGCAGCTTTAATCTGTCACTGGTCTGAATATTCTCTGTACAGTATATGCATCTCACCTGCTCAGCCACAGTGTTGTTATTAGAGTAATGAATAGTATAGTAAACAATGATTCCATTAGGTTCAATAGGCGGGCGCCACAGCAAGGTGACGGAGGAGGCAGTCACATTTGCAAAAGTCACATTCTGCGGGGGGTCAAATGGTTCTGAGAGCCAGGAAGCACACACAGACACATGTTCAGTTAGTGGGATAAACCTCATACAAATGCATGGTCACAAATATTTTGAATGTGAGGATGACTTAAAAAAAATCTGCCAAAATTCTTTAACAATCGTTCAGCACCTGCATCGGTGGTGGTAAAGCTGATGTAAATCAACACTCCTCCATCTCCCAGTCTGCTCCAGCTGGAGACAGAGGCATTGTAGCGACTCTCTGAGTCTACATTAATAACCACTGATGTCTGTGTCACATTCTGCCACAGCTCAGTTGTTTCATTCCTGACAAAGAGAGCGACCATTAATGTTGCAATGTGGGCCATTTTCTTTTTAAACTTATGTTTTTGAGTCAAACACACAGACAAAAGCAGATTAAGAAACTCACCAAACTCTGACGATGTAGTAGAGTATGTCGGAATTGGCTTCAAGTGGTGGTTGCCATGATAACTCTACCTCATAGTCTGACAACGTCCTGGCGTGGAGGAACTGAGGAGGTGTATCTGGAGCTGAGATGCAGTACAAACACTTTCAAGTAACAAAATACAAACAGGAGTATATGGGTTTTCAAAAGACAAAACTGATTGTTTTTGCATTGGGCAAAATGGAACCTCATATGGTCCCTCGGGAACGTGCCCTGAAATGAAAAACTGGTTAGTTGTAATGACTTGTTTGTGCTTCTCAGTCCTGCTGGAAAGCACATGGCATCAAATACCTGTGAAGTAACATCATTAACATGAGCTGAGACAGAGAGATGTAACTGAGGATGAAAAGACGGGAGGAAAGTCAGATTTAATCAGACGCCCTTCGAACTCAGTCATGATGTAATCGTGCAGTGTCCTGGAACTGAAAAACAAACCCTCCCCTTTCCGCTCTCTCCCACCCGTCCCTCTCACCATCCTCCAGTGTGGTGATGTTGAGCGGCTCGCTGCTGTAGTTTCCTGGCCCGACACGCGTGTGTGCTTGCACCTTGATGCGGTAGTGTGCATACTTCCTCAGGTGCGTGATGTGGATGTAGTTGGTTGGGGAGGTGAGGTTGAGGTAGTGACTGGAATTCCACAGCTCCAGACTGTACTGGGTAATGACCCCGTTATGCATCAAAGGAGGCTGCCAGGTCACGTTCACTTCGCTGGGACTGACCGACTCATACATAATGCCATACGGAGGACTGCCAGGAACTGAAGAGAGAACATACTATTTTTAAAATCTGAACAGTTGATGGTGTTACTAAAGGCTCTCATATGTGTGTATTTGTGTGCATGGGTGGGTGCAGTCATCAACACACCGTCCTCTCCGGACAGCAGGTATAAAGTGTCGGACGTTTGGTTGCCATGTCCGTAACTCGTGAACGCCTTCACAGACACGTTGTAGTAGGAGAATGGCTTCAGGTTCATCAGAGTGACTGAGTTAGAGGACGTGTTCATTAACGCAGAGTAGGACTCATTCTCATACTGGACCTCGTAATGTTGGATCACCCCGTTGGCTTGTTCTGGTGCAGACCAGGCCAGTGTGGAGGCAGAGGGGCTGGTGTTAACCACAGTGAGGTTCACAGGGGGGGAGTCAGGCTCTGAGGAAGCGATAGAAAAATCATTGACCAAATAATATAGCTGACCTAGCATCATATTGAATATTGGTAATTCAATAACTACATATGAAATATTTGAGTTTATTTATCAAACGTCATATCTAATCACTGATATTCATTTACTGACTGAATTGTTAATAGTGTGAGGTGCATGCAATCCAACAAGGTTTAACAGCTGCACAAATTGTCACTTAAGTTTGACTGAACAGCTTTAATTCCATTATTTTTAAATCAATGAGAGATTTATTGGCATTTCATTTGGTCAAACATTCATTATCTAATTGTCATTACTTCCACTCATATTCAAACACATATTTTGAACACTTGAATACTTGTTTCTGTATACAGTGTGTGTTAAGTACATACCGTCCTCTAAGGTGAGAACAAAGATGTCATCTTCCTCCGACAGAGAGCTCTCTCCCACAGCTGTAGATGCAGCTACACGTAGCTTATAACCAGCATACTTGTCCAAATCTATATATTAGAAGAGATATTTACAATCAGATCTGTGTCATGATGATGATAATGATTATAATGACTGCATAGAGCTCTGCAGAAAAGTTGGTTACTCTACCTGTTATTAATATGCTGGTACCGTTAGTAAACCAGTTAAGGGCCTGATAACTGTGCAGTTTGAGGCCATAGACAGTGTAATGTGTGATCCTCCCATTGGGGTTAAGTGGTGGGACCCAGTTCACCAGTATGGAGGTGGAGCTGATGTTTTGATAGGACACTTGGAGCACTGAGCTAGGGACTAAACACATACAGACATTGTTAGGGACAAAGAATGTTTCTGGTTTTGCAGGCCGTAGAATTTCTCTATTTCTTCAGTCTCTAAATTCAGCACTTGATGTAGAAACAGCAAATTAGATGAACTTCATGTACTTGCATGATTCATGCACATTTTGGGTATGTAACAACATGGTTGATTGCACTTATAGCAAGTAACTTTGGATAAAAGCAGTCAGCTAAATAAATGTAATGTGACTACTCACCCTGCTCCCTTGTCTTCTCAGTGGTATCTGTTGCAGGACCCTCTCCCACTGTTGTGGAAGCAGTGACCCTGAACGTGTACTCGGTGAAGGGATTCAGATCTGACACCAGGTATGATAGCTCCTCAGACAAAACGTCCATCACCTCCTCTCTCACCATTACACCTGCGATACAAAAACAGATGGAAAAACAAGACCACATGCGCACACAGGACTTATAAACACTGGAACCCGTCTTGTATCAAGGGCTGCAGGCAGTTAAGAGAAGCAGTGGTTCGGGCTAGTGCTCTCCCACCTGTCGTACCAGAAGCTGCTGCACTGCGTGTTGAAAAGTGTCCCGTAATTGATGCATCATGTGTGGACAAGCGGAGCTGGCCTGGGGTCAGGGACAAGACGGAAGAATCTGAGGTCATATCCCCAGCATGCGATTGCTTTGTCAGCCAGGGTGGAAGTGTAGCAGCCGGCACAGCGGTAAGAGGGAATGCAGAGGTCCCAGAGACTGCAGAGTCAGTAAATTGAATATTTGGGCTGTTAGAGAGTGAAGCAGAAACATAACTGGTACTGGGCTTCTCAGTGGCCATTGGGTCAGCAGCTGGTTGAGCATCGGTGTCAGTGATGTAAACAGTGCTTCTTTGTCCAGAGTGTGTGACACTGGAAGCAGTCGCAGAGGGCAGTGTGCGATCAGAAATGGTGGCGGTGAAAGTCGGGGGTGATGTGATCAGATTGAGCTCCGCAGATCTCTTACGTCGCCCTGGATTGTTATTGACATCAGGGGGACGGGTCTCATCTTCATTTAAACCAGTTGTATTCTGAAGGAAGAAAAACTACATTTTATAGCCTGACTGGAGTTTAATTTTTAATTTTTAACAGTAGTAGCTGTGATGGGATACATTTACGGTGGCTTGGATAGCTGTAACATCTGGCCTACCATTTCTGCAGAGAGGGTGATGTCCTGCAGCAAACTGTCACCAACAAGAACCTGCACTTTGTAGTGGGTGATTGGACCGTTGGGCTGGGCAGGGATTCTCCAACCCACACGGATTGAAACTGAATCTTCAGCTTCTGCCATCAAGTCCTGCACGGCACCGGGTGCTACTCACACAAACACACATAGAGCCAGAGAGAATCAGACACAGACAGAAGCACACAAAACACACCCCTAAGCATGCAAGTATGTATAGGACTTTATTGTGTTATCCTTGACATTTCTGTAGTAGTGTGTGATTCAATGTCTACTTTCCCCTTCCAAAAATGTGTTTAGAAAAACATCCTTACATGCAACATATGTTTAAATAAAAAATGAGTGGTCTCACCTTCGGCATGTGTAATTACATCATCCTGCGCTGCTGGACCCACTTCTCCAGCAGCTTTGGCTCGGACGGCCAACGTGTACCTTGTGTAGGGGGTCAAACCTGTCAGAGCAAACCGCGTGTCTCCTGTGCTGTTCTCATACAAATATCCTGCAATGAATAGGAAATAGAAAATGTTATGGATTTTTATCAATTTAGAGTTTGAGTCTGTATATGCATGAATGCACGTGTGTTCAAGAGTTCATATTTAATAACCGGCAGGTCCATAAAGGTAGAGCACGTAGGTGAATCTTCCTGTGATAATGTTGGGAGAGCCCCAGGACACGGAGATCGATCTAGACGTCATATTCAATATGAAGAAGTTTTGTGGCGGGTCTTCTGGGGCTGCCATACACAAACACATAAATAAAGATTTTCATACATGCAATACATACTGTATATCCTAATAAGATTTAAAAAATCAAACAAAAGATACAGCCTCGTTTGCCTCTTTTTCACACCTGATTCTGGCATGCGGACCATAGTGGAGGCTATCTGTCCTTCTCCATCAGAGGTGAAGGCAGACACTTCGAATAGATAGGCAGTGTAAGGTCGTAGTTGATCAACTCCTACTGATATGGGCACACTCCAGGAGGCTGCAGGGGGTATGGCGGAGAGGGTGATGGGTGAAGACGATGCTGTAATCTCCAAGGGACTGAGAGTCGCTCGGGACAGGATATCTGCTGCATCCTACACATACAAAGTCATACACAGAGGGAAAGGTATATGAGAAAAAAAATTAGCTAGCGGTATGTTGTACATACGGTCAGCCTTGTGCCTTGGTAGCTTCTATAATCCTGACAGAAACAAAACATTTCACAATAACAATGAAAAGGACAGAAGGTGACAGTATAATGCAGTACATTGCAGTGAGGCAGTGCTCCGGTCATGATGTCCTCTGCCTTGACCTCCAGCGTGCGGACCGTCTGCCCAGTACGAGCGTGTTTAGCCTTCACAGCAAACTTCGTGATGAGGCCGTTGATGCGGTGCGGCAGGAACCACGTGACCATGACGAAGGTGTGGTTCGAAGCAAACGCTGTCAAGTTGGTCACCAGGCCAGGGGCTGCAGGAGATGCACACATAGACAAACAATACTCTGTATACACAAATTACTGTTTCAGATTTTGAGATCATTATGCAAGTGTGTGCATGAACACCCACGGGACTCAGCGGTCTTTATGTATACAGATTTGCTGAAGGCTCCTATTCCAGCTGGAGATGTGGCTGCTACCTAAAGGGGGGGGGGGGGGCAAGCGAGAGAGAGTTGGTATTACTTAATGATGATTAATTCATGTTCGTGTCAATAGGGCAGTCACCAGATCCAGATTAGGTGCTTATCTCAGGCAATGACCACAACTGGAACAACACTATGCTAGAGGTGATTCAGTGATCCGAGTAAAACACGAACATGATATAACATTATACAGCAGGTATGTGAACAGTATGTAAACAGACCTTTAGCCTCTGAATTGCCAGCTACATCTTTGATATTCTCAAAGATTTAAACTGTATAAATCAAAATGAATGAAAAATAAATTAATAATGACGTAAAAAATTGAATGCCAATTTAAGTCTGATTATCAGGCAAAAGTGGGAATACATCTAAATGGACTGTAATGAATGCTACATCCAAAACGTTATCTTGAAACATCCATCTTCAGCTTTTATTTACTATATATTTATACTGAACAACACTGCAGATTTAACAAAAATATAAATGTCAATGTCAAGTTTTTGTAATTGGCTTTAAAATGTTTCCTAATGCAAATACTTCTAGAAAATCAACCTACAGAGGATCATGCTTCGAGAGCAAGCACAACACCGGCATTTGGACAGTCTAATGCAAAATAACCTCGTCAAAAACTACAGTCTAAAATTACCATAGAGTCGAACCAATGACTCTGTGAATTAGACATTTTGTGTTTGTGTAATGAATAAGAATAGACATTGTCTATATTGCCTGATAATAACCCTAAAATAAAAAGTCAATACTTGACTAAATCATATACTTTACAGTATCTACAATTTATACCGCTCAGGTAATATTACCTTGAATATAACATTCTTAGGTCTGTCTTTGCACGGCTCAGTGGGTCAACACACTCAAAGTAGTAATATGATACAAGCACACACACTCATAAAGGCGTACACATAAATACAGAATGTGCAGGTATCATGATGTGTGACAGTCTCTCAGAGTCCATTTGTATTAAGGTCATTGTGGGTTAATGAATTCTGAAAACTAATAAGCACGATCGCATTCAAGCTCAGTGACAACAGACAGTGGAAAGAGCCATGGCTGATCCATAGATCTGTTTACCTGATTAATAATGAAATCAGGACGGATCAATTACCAGTATTCAGCCAGATCAAGAGAATAGTCCGGTCCAGTGGGATCTGTCCACATGAGAGTACAGGAGGACAGTTTCCAGGAATATGTTTGTTCTGAGATACACCTTAGTTCGTTGGATATCGGAGTCTATATTAGGTTATCATGTCTCAGTCCGGTTATGTGATGTGAGTTCACCAAAGTGAATTCCTATTAGCTACAACTTAATGGCCATAAAGAATAAATCTTGAATTGCATATCCTACCTCAATGTGGTACGTAGAACCTGAGGTGAAGTCAGTGAGCAGGGTCTCAGGTGCGTCCAGGTACTTGGTGACCTGTGTGAAGGTGGGATCGGGGTAGGGACACACCTCCTTGTATCTACAGGCAGAAATCCACTCTCAAGATCATCATCTTTCAACTCACATTATACATTTATGTACAGCATGGGGCTGGATGAAGGACTCTCAACAATTGTATTTAAGCATAGATTTAAGGTACTTCATTTTAATATTTCCCTTTTATGCTATCTCTACTTCATCATATTTTAGAAGGGAACTTTTAACATATTCACATTTTTTATTATCTCCTTAATAAACCTAATGCATAAGTAAAAGAAATATGTCTTTTCTGGCCATTTTAGACTAGAATCAAGTCGAGAACTTGATTCTAGTCTAAAGTCTAAATCCTAGTCTAGGATTATTTTCTTATAAAAAAGATTTTAAAAATCTGCCAGTGCTGCAAGAATATTTCTCCGTGTATTCAATGCAAATCTAATTGTTTTGACCATTTTTTTCTAAAACTACTACAAAGAACTTTCTTTACGTGTCGAATTTGGCGTCCCTGTGGACAACAGTGATACTGTATCTCCGAGCACCAGCCTCCCTTTAGAAAACTGAAAATGTACTGCAGCAGGGTCTGACAGTCAGTTCTGGTTCTCCTGTGCCTCCCTTCCCTCCAGCAATGCAAAGCTCTGCTCCTAACTGGAGGAGGTGCCGCTGCCGGGCCGGGGCGCTCTCCTTCGCTCTCCCCTGATCGCTGCCAGGCCTCGCTGGAGTCTGAGCTGAAGGACTTTCTGGTGATCCTGCATGACTTTGTCTGATTTTGAGCAGAATCCGACCCGGTTCATCAATTACAAGCATTAAGAATACGCATATAAAAATAGAAAATCTTCTCGCTAATGGTCTAGTTTACTTATGTAGGTCATATAGAAGCATCAGTACTAAATTGAGACTGTTTGATAATCAGTTAAAAATTTCTCACAGTAACTTTCAGTATACTTTTGCTGATAATATTACTAATAACATGATTTTGAATACTTTAACTTGTAATGGAATATTTTTTAGGACTTGAATACTTCTTCCACCCCTGAAAACACTTCAATAGGCTCATTCCCATGCATGTAATAAATACAAGTATCAGTTGTGCAATACACATAGAGCCCTAAATGTATATAGAAACCAAGAGCAAATTGTTTTTAAATTGTTACACTAGATTTATATTTCTTTACATACTATTTCTAAATTATATATTTCTATGATATTCAGTATTTTTATTTGATATATATTGATGCCTTTTTTCCTTTATTGACTGTCCTTTTTTCTTAAATTTGATTTGAATATTTGTTTATTTCACATTTTATATTTTCATGATCTCATGATGAGTCAGCGCCTGATTTGCGAACTGCAATTTTCTTGACAGAGACAACAAAGCTCTCCTGAATTGTTGAGACTCACAACCTTTGTGGACTCCCACCAATAGACCAAAATAATTCACAGTTTTTCAAGACGGCAACGATGAATTACCTGATGACGTATCCGTCAATATTGTTGGCATCAGGTGGCATTGTCCAGGAGAGAAGAATACCATTGGAGCCCACGGCCTCTCCTTCTAGGCCTAAAGGTGGGTCCGCAACTGGAGGAGAAGAAATTAAGTGTGTGAAGGAGAGAAGAGAACAGAAGAGTATCTTTCCACATCGTCCACTGTGTTCCACACCATAAATACAGCAAACATACAACACAGATATTTTGGTACAGAACTTCTGTATAACAGAACTCAACCATACACAGTACCACAGTCATTTGAAGAATAGTGTTGTTGTCTGTGGGGACTGATCCTACGAGTGTGTGTATGTGCGCGGGTGTGTGTGTGTGTGAGTGTGTGTGTGTGTGTGTGTGGGTTTGAGTCCGATTGAGGCCGAACTCCGATGAATAAGCCCTCACACAGTAGTGGCATTTCAATGACATTCACTGGAGACCCATTCATCCTGCGGTTCAAAAGCCCAGGCTTAAGTTACCGAAGAGGAATTAAACACACACACACCTACTGTACTAATTCCTTTCCCTCGATGTGTGTGTGTGTGTGTGGGTGTGTGTGTTTGCTATAAGGGACTGAATTAAACAGCAGAGGGCAGACGAGAACCTGATGGCACTTTAACACTCAAAAACAAAACCCATCCAAACAACACTAAACAGCGTTTGCACGACCCACCACTCTCATTAGTATTGATCATGCGGCTGACTCCGGGGCTGATGTTGGAGGAGGAGGAGACTGCTGTGACCGTTACACTGTATCGTGTCCCTGGAGTGACATTCACCACATCGGCCTGCAAAAACAAAAACAAAACACGGGATCAATTTTTTTTATTGATTTCGAACAGGATGTGACTTAACACTGTCAATGCAAGTGTGTATTGCAATTGCAATTTGTTACTGCTGGTTTTGGTAACAGTCCAATTCCAGATATTCTGTTTGCTATCACGTAAGACAAGAAAAAGCAGCAAATCTTCATAATTGTGAACCTTGAATTGGATAATTTTAGGTAATTCTTGTTTCAGTGCTTTGAAAAAAGTTATGTCAATCAACTAATAGACTAATTATTTCAAGTATTTATTTTTCTTCAAAACAGAAATATGTATGGGTTTTCTTGTTTTAAATCTAATTATCTTTTTTTCAAATTTGCTACTTTACAATTTTCCCAAGTGCTCCCTGACAACTACACAAGTATTCCATGTACACATAACCCTGGTTGGCAATCACTACTGTAGAACACATTAGTTAAAAAAAGCACTCCTCTGACAAATCTCCCAAAATAGAACCAGGATTAAAACTAAATTACAAAAGAATCTGCAACTTACTTTGACAGCTTGTGGCTGCACTTGTTTGTATCTTAATATATTTTTTGCAACAGAAGAACTGTGTTGCAGTCTTTTTGCTTTTAAACATTTGGACCTGTGACATTAGTATGTTTGGATAGCAATAATTCACACTCATACCTTATGTTACCTCCCAGAAATATGATGAACAATGTTATATTTATGTTCCGTATATCTGAGTATATAAACATCTATGTGCACATCAATGCCAGAGTGTTGCATTCTTACCTGTGAGTGTACCTGTCCCAAGCAGAGTGTTAGCAGCAGGATACGTGAGAAGAAGGCCATGCTGGTTAGCAGAGTTAGCTTTAGCTTAGACACAGCAGGATACAGGCGTCGCCAGTGGAGCTGCATCCAGTGTTAGTGCACAATGGCTAGCGGTGGTCTACAGGTACTCCACTGGGGTAAAGAGGAATGACTCCAGGGTCTAGGAGCTGGTTAGCGGCATGAGTAAAAGGTCACAGGGTTAGTTGTCCAGGAATTGGATATTAACGGCTCTTGGTCTTGAGGTATTCCAAACTTTTTGTGGCTAACTAAGGAGGAGAGTGAATCCTCTCATTAGCACGAGGCTAACATTCTCCCTCTGGTCTCTATCTATCTATCTCTCTCTCTCTCTAGGGAGAGCTGCTTAAGCAAATGAATGATTCAGGCTTGAGCTCATGAGGCCAACTTAATAAATAATGAGATCTATTACTCAACCCTGTGCTCTGTGTGTGTGGTGTGTAAGGTTACATTTTGGGGGTATCTGACACCTGGCAGCTGGGAAGAGATGGTATGGGGCGGGATTTGGTTGAATGGGAGGAGAGCTAAAGAAGCATGTTTGTGTGTGTGTGTGTGTGTGTGTGTGTAGATTGTACACTCAGTATCATAACTCAGCTGCATGTCTGAATCTACAATGCCTGACTTCTTCCCATTTTACTGATCTTCATGAAACTGAATTGAGTGTATTCAGGTGAACTGTACCGTCCCATTGTCCAACTCGCTACAATGAGTTTATTAGGTGAAACTGTAAGTTCAGAAATGTCATTGTTGTTATATCTAAGCAGTGTGTGTGTGTGTGTGAGATTCGTTGAGTATGTGTGTGTACCTGAATGTATTCGTCACACGCAGGGTACACTGTGACCTTTCCCTGGTTTGGTAGCAGGTTGACTTGATAATGATCCACACACCCAATCGCCTGCTTCCAACGTAACGAGAATGCACGTGCAGAGACATTCACGACACGCACACCTCGCACACGTGCTGGCCCTCATAAAAAGACAATAAAGGGAGGAATCGAGTGAGAGAGGTGGAGAAAGTAAAAAAACACAATGAAAGGGTGATCAGGCTAGTTGATATTAATGTAGTGTTGTAGCCCTTGTAATATCGTCTACCTGTGGTTACAGTCAGAAAGGCAGCGCTGCCCGCTGTCACTCCTCTGACTCTCTCAGCACTCACGTTGTAACTGCAGCCGTCCACCAGCCCTGTGACAACGGCAACCTGTTCCTCCTTGGGTACGGTGTGCGTGGTTGTGCCTGAGGTGTTGGCCACAGTGACTCTGTGAAAGTCAAACTCTCCAAACGCACTGTCCCAGCTCACAGAGACAGAAGAAGAGTTCATGTGGCCTAAATGAAGAGCGCATAATCCTGCTGGGCCTGGAACACAGTTTTTGTAACTTTACACCTTTGTTTTTCATCTCTTTAGCTGCTATTCCATTATTTTATGTGTTTCGAGGGCATTAAGCATTGAGGAATCACAAACAGCTTTTTCTATCTTGGCAGGACAAAACTTTCTGAAATACTGCACAGAATTTAGACCGGTCTGTTTCTGTATGTGTGTGTGTGTGTGCTTGTATGCCTGAGTATCTCTTACGTGTGCTGAACTCTCTGTGGACTGCCTGACTGGTGTCTGAGCCAAGCACACTCTGAATGCTGACACTGTAGTCTGACCCCGGGATCAAATCCCTGATCTCATAACGTGCGTCCTGGACAAGAACCTCAATCCATGATTTCCTGTCCACAGACCGCAGGCCAAAAACAAGCTGAGAAAAAAAAAAAAAAAAAGTCCCAAGTTTCAATTACTGGCCGCAAAAACATACCACATTTCCGCTTTATCAATCCTTTCTGTGTACTGATGTCTTTTATTTATGTTTGTTAATGTGGGTGGGTATTGTGTGTGCATGTAATGTGCTTGGTCATTCTCCCTGGTCGTGGCTCTACTGAGGTCATACATCTTTAAAGGGCTGGTAACCAAATCTGTGGTGTGCTGACAACGGTTTCTAAGTAACCAACAGGTGAGTGCAGAACCTGACGCATGTGGCCTTCTTTGTCCACATTTTGAGGAACGTGTGTGTAAGACAAATGTGGACTGACATCTGTCTGGAAGTTACTATGGCATACCGACCTGTAATGCCTGTCTCTCCTACTTTGATTTCTTGGAACTGAACAGCTGAAGTATTTTACATGTCTTACCTTGTACCCCTCCACCTGTCCTGGCGGTGGTCTCCAGGTTACAAACACAGACGTCACTACCTGCTCTGAAAGAGTCACATCCTGTGGCACCTCTGGGACTGGAGACAAGAGTACCATTAGCATGAGACACCATTCATGAACTGACTCATAATCATCGTCATCTGTCACTATAGGTAATACACGTGTGAATATAAACTCTTTGAAAACTTTATAGGTTCACTTTAAACAAGCAATTAACAAGCAATACTACTAATTTTTAGAATAATATGAATTTGAATATGTATTTTAAACTTCTATAATCATATGTATTTTAAGTTTTATTTGCATATTTTGTCTCTCTTCTGACGAGACATTTCCTGCTACATTCAATTTGTGTTCCAACTAATTTCTCTCTCTCTCTCTCTCTCTCTCTCTCTCTCTCTCTGTCTCTCTCTCTCTCTCTCTCTCTCTCTGTCTCTCTCTCTCTCTCTCACATGCAAATGTGGGCACTCACAACCAGTCTTTGGTCCCGGTGTTGCATATGTCTCAAACTCTTAAACTTACCTGTATGGAGGATCATAGTAGCAGGTTTACTCCTTTTTCCCCCGCTGGTGCTCATCACTTCAATGGTATATTGGCTTCCATAAGCGAGGCCTTCAAAGCTGTAAGATCTGTGAACACACAGCTCTAGCAGTCACTGTTTTGTAAGCACAGACTTTGAGTAATCCATGTTGCACTACAACTGCACTGAGTTGTTATTAAATAAAGTTTTAATCTGGTGATTGTTATTACAGTCTCATAAAACTGTAATAATTTGTGCATTGGCTGACAAGAGTGAGACTGACCTGGCCTCCTGATGAGAAATCATCAGCTCTTGACTGAATGTTCTGTTTTTGATTGACAGGATGAGTCCGCTCGCCACTCCCCTGACCATACTCCAACGTACGCATATGGATGATGTGGTTTTATTCACAAGAGACATCTTTACTGGGCTGGGGGCTGGCGTATAAAAAACATTCCACATAGTTAGTTAAAATAGAAAGATTGAGCAGTGTGTGTATGTGTGCGCTTACCTGCAGTGATGTTGATGGTGACGGGGGAACTGTCTGTGAAGGACTCCTTCTCTGTTCGTACTGCAAAGTGGTAGATTCTGCCTGGAGTCAGACTAGAAAACGTTGCGCTCTGACTGAACACCTTCTGCACCTGTAGCACAGAAATGGTATAGACCTTTTCAAACTGGATAACATACACACTCTATATGGGTCCCTTTGTATTTCCTGATGCAATGTTTGCTAATGCAGTGGCTGAGAGGAAATAAACTTGGACCATCATGAATCTCAAAGTAAAATCTCCTTTTTTTGGTTTACCATTTGTGAGTGGTCACAGTTTAGGCAGATGACCTCGTAGCTGTGAGCCTGTCCTGGTGCTGGATCCCAACGCAGCTCTATGGACGAATCTGTCACCACACCTTCCCTCACTCTGTTAGGAGTAGCCAGACCTAAAATCAAAAACCCATATCCTACACTGTAGTTATTCTTCTAACATACTGAAAATACCAATTAACTTTGGTTGAGCAATAGTTGTTAATTTTATGTTTTTAAACCTGGGGATCATGTAATTTATACATGATATATTATTGCAGTAATAATGAAATAGAAAGTTGGCAACAACTTCATGAAAGACGCCACATGCTGTAAATGTTTATATGTAGTATATATGTTTCTCAAACAAACATTTTAAAAATGCATTTAAAGATTATGCCACTGTCTTATTTTAACGTCGCTTCATGTTGGGTTTGTCACAAAGGGGTCTGTCTGTCTTAAGAAGCACACAGTCTCAAAACAAGATACAAAATATATCGTACAGTATAACATCTGTCATATAGCTTGAGGCCTGTCCTAAATGGTATAGATTTTTGCGATCGCTACATGTTGAGAACATACATTTTCAAAAGAAAATCAAACAGTTAACCAGTAAAGTGATGCCAATATTAGAGTGAATGCAATAGATAAAGATGTGAAAAAGTACTTTTAATTGATGCCAAATTATATATATTATATTAAATAGATAGAGTAGTGCTATCCTGAAGAGAAAAAGTGATGAGAGGCCTTTTCCAGGTTAAAATGCATTAACAGAGAAGGACCCACTATGTTGTGAGATCATTTAAGTCAATATAAGCCCAAATGTTTATACCAACACCTTCAACTACAGCAAATTGAATGTGTCTGCCGCCACTAAGTACTAGTATTAGCAGAGGCAACTCACTTGTTCTAACGGGGCGGGTGTAGTACGGTGGTCCCATCTGCTCTCGGCTTGTGCTGTACACCTTGAGCTGGTGCTCTGATCCTGGACTGAGGTTGCTCAGGGTTATGATATGAACACCAGCAGGCAGGGAGTACCAGTGACATGTGTTCCCACACAGTCCCTCACACAGACTGTCACACAATCCTGGACATACACACACGTTCACCCCATCAATCAGGCCCAGATGTGGATGCTGGATGTAAAGTTGTGCAGAGTTTGTGCCCACTGAAAGGGGGACTGCTACCTGAACTGGCATTGGATCTAGACATAGAGGGAGAAACAAGAGACAACGATAAAAGTTTAAAAGATAGGTTGATTCAGGTCAGGTGCCCAAATTAATATTGAAACATGTTTTGCTTGCTGTAATCATTCCTTTTGTTCATACTGGCCATGGGGGACTAAATCCGCAGTCCTCATTCTGTCTGTGTATCAAGAAGTTTATCTGAAGCTTGAAGCCAGTTTAGTACAACCCCCTTCTTTTTAATCACTGTCCTTCCACTGCAACTCAACAGGGAAAAAAAACAAAAAAAGAGAAATGTAATCTAAAAAAGCTGTAACTCTGGCCGATACCCACTGGCTACCTCTAACTACTGAGGCCTTATCTTAGCTTCAGATAAACCTCTCCTTTAAAGGCAGTATTGTTGTTTCTCTTACCTGTGGTGCGTATGATTCTGGTCCTGTTGCTCCTGTCCTTTCCCCTCAGAGAGACAACTCCTATTTCATAAGTCTGACCTGGAGTAAATGTGCCCAAATTAACACACACAGACTGACGTGCCCAGTGTGAACCAGGACTGGTCTGGTTTATCCACAGTGAGGTTAGAGTGGGATATATGGGTGGGTGGGATGTGACATAATAACCATCTGGTGGGTGATCAGGTGAACTGGTCCAGCAGACTGTCAGATCTCCTGTTGTGTTCAACACCACCAGACCACTAGGGGCCTTCACCGCTAAGAGGCACAAAGGAGATTGTTATTTTGTTGTCAGCTAACCTGAGTCAAAGCAAAGTCTGTATTACACAACCATGCATGTTTTTTGTTTGGACAATTACATACTGTAAATTTGAAAACATCTGAAACGTATCCACTTTGGCAGACAAATAAGTGTTTTATTAATGCTTTTGATCATAAATGTATCTAGAAAAATGACCATCACAGGAAGACAGTCAAAGACTAGTCAACTAAAACCCCTGACTGGACCTCTGTTGTGAAGAAGTTTAGCTTCACAACCAAAAGTCCAGTCAAATCTTGGATTGTATTGTACTGTCTGGGTGAAAAATAAGGTCTATAATGGCAATAACAGTGAATTAATGAAACTTTCTGATTGGGAAGTTCTCATTTGTGTATCTTTCCCAAATTTTCCAAATACATCTTTGTATTTCATAGAAATTAAAATGAATCATCATGAATCAGTAGGAAAATCCCAGGTGTAAATAATAAAATGTCAGGGTCCTGGTATTGTGGATGTTGGCTCACTGTGACCCTGTCATGGCTCACTGGAACACTACAATAGAACAGAGGCATCACAAATATCTGCTGTGAAAACGTCCTGTTACATGCTTACCAGTCTGGACAGTCACAGGCGCTTGTCCACAGCTCTCTATGCCATGCTGGGTGACGGTGTAAACTTCAACTCTGTATTTCCTGTGAGAATCCAGCCCTCCAATCACAGCAGCGTATGCCTGCAGCCCACCAGTCTCAGATAACCTGGAGATATTGGTCCTTCCAACTATGCTCTCTTGTCGTGAAGACATGTCCACATAGCGTACAACAAAGGTCCATCTAAGCCTTAACTGTACATCTGTCATTATCCAGTGGACACTAATCTGACTGACGGTACTGGGGCCAAAAGTGATATTTTGAGGAGGAAGAGGTCCTGTAAGGAAGAGAACATAAAGCTTTGAAGTTACATCTGTTACCACAAGATGCTTGTGCTTCCTTGTGTGCACTTTATGTGTGTCAGCACACTCACTAGTGTGCGCAGTTCGCGTTTGTCCCAAGCTCCAGGTGGAGCCAGCAGGATGAGAAGCTCGAAGGGTGAAAGAGTAGATGCTCCCTGGAGACAAGCCTGTCACTGCTACCCCTCTGGAGGAGAGGACTATGGGGACCCTGACGATTTTTCTAACACCGCTCAGGCTCTGTGCCCCCTTTTTGTCCTTCCTGCTTCCATCTTCTTCATCTTGACCCGACTCTCCATCTGCCTCCTCTTGGTACTGGAGGAATATCTCAATAGAAGAAAGATTAAGAGAGTTGAAGGGTGAGAGGTCACCCCAACAAAGCTGTACTTGTTGCTCTGTCACCTGAACCAGGTCAAAGGAGAACGGGGCAGGGACAGGAGGGGCTGTGAAAGAGGGAGACACAAGTTACGAAGGAAATGAGGGAAGGAAGTGCTCACAATTAATATGGTATGGGTTAACTAGTAAGTGTTTGGCATTACCTATTTACCTTGAGATTGAACAATATCATAGGTTGAGGGTTATGATGTTGCAAAATGTGTAATTATTATTATATATAATATAATATATGAATATAATATATATATATGTATGCACAGTAAATGATGTGGTTAATAAAAGGTATATTACACAAGGTATTTACTCTGGCAATGGCAGATGAAGGGTAAGGGGATGTTACAGAAGAATGGAGTGAGAAAGTATCCTGGCAATGTGGCATTCCTCTGAAGGGCAAAACAGTCTGTCTGATTGGCTGGCAGTAATGACATCGTGGAGTTCCTCAAGTTATAGGCTGAGCCATCAGACCAGAGAGGATGCCCCTCCTCCTGTGGGGTGACAGAAGAGAGACATTGTGCACTATATGTATACACATGACAGACATCGCCAGCTGACTGTCATTAAAGTGAAAGTATCAGAAACAAAACTCCTCTTTAAGGAGTAACTGCTGCGTTGGGGCTTTTCCTGTTGAAAGTGTAAACTACTTTGGAAGAATATCACCTGCCCCTGTGTTTTTACTGGTCTATGATTTAGAAACAGAGGATATACCCGAACATGTAAGGACCTCGCTGCAGGCAGCTAATAAGAAAACTGTCTACAAAGGCCAGTTTTGAAATGTAAACTGTATTTATTTGTATTCTACTCAAATCATAAAAAGTAAATCCTACAAAGAGTAGTCATTTCCTAAGTATATTCACTATAAATATAAAACTATTTTGGCCTTTTTGTTCAAACTAATCATAATTCATTGCTTTGAATAGGTTTCTTTACACATAAAGTATGTCGGTGTGCACACTACAGGAGTGCTCTTTAGTGCTGACAAAATGTTGAGCGGGGAAGTTTAAATATACTGCAGAACATTTTCAGATCTACTACTGTCCTACAGTTCACTTTCCATATATTCCTCCATATCCTACAGAACCATATTCTGCATGATTCTGACAGTCTTGCAGGTCAGAATAACTGCTGAACAGTCATGCCTTCTCAATCAGTAACCTTGTAAATATTTAGTCAGTAGGTTTTCTGGACAAATCTCTCTTTAAATTACAAAATGCTAAGTTATTCATGAAAATTCCCAAATGTGAGAAAATGTTATTAAATGCGCATTCTCAACGAAACATGAACTATTCTGACAGTGTAAATGGTATGTCACAAAACGCGGCAATTATTTAGCTACCTGCTGGTCATTGAGTCCGGTCCATAGCAGCAGCAGGTTGTGGCTCAGCAGGTGAGAAGATTTGAAAAGCAAATCTTCCACGGTCTTCAGATCAGCCAGGTGACTTCCGGCTGCCAGGCCTCCGCAGCTGTGCTGGGCATCAGTCCAGGTCAAACCCGTCCTTCTCACAGTGTAGCAGCTTCTCCCATTGGCCAACCAGCCAGGTGGGCACTGAGCTGGAGACAGTAATTATCATCAACTAATACAGTCTTTTTTAAGGCAGATGATGAAATTGTTGTCATATGATGAATTGATTGTGGTAAAGCAAATGTGTACAATACCTGTTTCAATATCAATGCTGAGTCTCTGCTTCAGGGTCATATTAAGGTGTTTGAGGAACGTAGTGACCACAACTTTGGCCTTGAAGCGTGTGCCAGGCTGGAGACCTTTCACTGTGTACTGAGAGTTTGTCTCTGATGAGTTTATGTTGAAGATGTGCGTGACAGATTGTGTGTGAGTGTTGTGTAGACTCAAGGTGGCTAGGGTTTGTTGTTTGCGAAGTTTCCACATCAGGAGAGCAGTAGTAGTCGTGCTGTAAACATGAAGGGCGGACAGGGAGACTGGAACTGGACACATATACAGTATAGAAGGGAAGGAGTAGAGACAAGATGAAACACAATAATGTCAATAGGCATTATACCAAACACTTATCAAGCATGTTATTTTTCTACATCAGAAAAGTGCTGTTCAGCGTTCACAGACACTCACTGAAGGGAAAAGTCTTTGCCTCAAGAGTAGTATCACTTCTGCTGGCTGTCAGTGAGATGTTATATCCTCTTGGGTCCTCAACCAATCGTAATGACATTTTGCACTCAGGGGAACATGCTGAATGGTGGATGGGCTCCACATACACCTGCAGAGATGTGACCATTAATTTAGTTATAAAAATAAACTCAAATGAATGAAACTGGACCAGAGTAAGCATCCCATTGTTCTTACCAGCTGGTTACTTGCAGTCCTGCAGGTGACTGAGTAGGCATCTGAATCTTTTGTGGATGGGAAGGACTGAAATACAACTTCAACCTCAACAGGGTTTAAATGCTGTTCACAGGTCAGCAAGACAACCTGAGGAAGTGTAAAAGTAACATGTGTCACAGAAGCTAACAATGTACCTCAAGAGGGATTCTTTCCATACGGCTCTCAACATGGTGATGGCTAGAAGCTAACAGTGCTGACAGAGCCAAGACACCATCGGTCGGGAAGGCATTATCAGTAGTAAGCACCATATAAGCGGAGTGCAGAGCAGTTATTAACGTGTGCTAGCCAGTGCCATTGGTCCACAACTAAATGACACAAATGCACTAACATGCAGGCAGGGTCGCCCCGGCTGTGCAAACACAGCACAGAGAAACTCAGATTACAACACACACATGGAGAGCGTCAATTCAGCACCTTTAAAAACGGTTACCTGGGAAGATACATAAGCATGATGGATATTCTCTTACCTGGCATAAACTAGCAAGTAAACACAGAATCTCTGTTCCACCCATTGGAAAGGTCACTCGATCTCATCGAGCAGTTACTGATCCACCTGGATGCGAACGATCACTTTCATCACTTCGGAGCAGACCCTTCTCACAAAACATCAGCTGTGGAAAGTCCCAAACTATTTGGCTCGCTGGCGACCAGCTGAGCGTCAAAAGGTTAACTGTAACTTTTTAAGAGTTGACAAGTCGTGGATTATATATTCATAGCTGTCTTAAATCATGGGGAAATCTCGACTTGCTTTTACTCCAGTTTTACGCAGAGCCTGCACTTTGAATTTAGCGCGCACTCAAAGTCAGAGTTCAACGGCTGTTTCCTCCGAGAAGCAGACCCTCTAGTGAAGTAGGAGACGGTCTTTGGGTGAGTATGGATAGAGAGAGAGAGAGAGAGAGAGAGAGAGAGAGAGGATGTGTGAGTTCAGCCCAATTTGTTCTGGCTCTTTGTTGGGATAAGAGCAGTTCACCATGGTAACCTCAGGCACACGGCCACTCCAGAGCTGGGCTCCTGAGGAGAGGAGAGGTGGGGAGGCTGGGCATGTGGGGAGAGGGGTAAGAGAGATGTGGTGTGGAGATGTGGCTGTGTGGTAAATTGAGATGTGCTTAGCTGGCAAAGCCACCAGCTTCATGCTTCTGGATGACCGACAGTCAGCAAGTCAGTCACAGCAGACAGGTCTAAGATTTTGTTTTCTTAACCTCTAAAATAAGCATGGGCTCCAAACTGGTCATAACAAAGTGCAGCGGGGAGAATGGTTTGGCTCGGATGTGGGGTGTGGTAGGAGAGCTGGCCCGTGTGGAATGACAGGAATGTGAAAGGGAGAAGTGATTGACACACAGTGAGCTGAGTCTACTGAGGGGGTTCTGTTATGAAGAGGTGACTCCCACACAGCAATCATCTCTGAGAGGAGAAGCACAAACACATGTCAGCACTACAAATGCTGAATCAGGATGAGAGTGTGCGTTTAATGAGATTTGAGTTTGAAAAGGACACACTGCAGGTCAGGAGGTCAGCCAGTCTTGCAATAATTCAGACAAAGTCACCTGTTAAATCTTTTATTTCCCGACTACAAAATACAGAAACTACAAAAGCCCTAAGGTCACAATACACTTTTCTAAGGAAAAAAGCTTTGCACACAACACTCATTTGTACAAAGGCTAAATTTAAAGCATGTACAGTATTTGAACCCAACAGCGGGTATGAAAAATGCAACAACTTCTGTGTCAACATAATATCAATTGTTAATATACAGTAGGATAAGAGGCTAATGGCATCGCAGCACCACCATCCGAAAGCACTAGATAGCTGACTGGGATGGCACAGCAGCTCTTCAAGAAAATAAAGACTAATGTGCAGACAAAACTACTTGAAAACCATCTCAATCTTACTTCAGTTATTTTCAATATCTTTTAACTACGACTCAGAGTTGTAAAGTGTACTTATATACCAAATACAATGAAACATGGCTGGTTTTCACGCTCGTTCATCGGTACTGTAAAAATCGAATTCATCCCCCTATTCATGCATTCTCTTCATTTGTTATGCTCTCATTCATTTTTCTGCCTGGACTCTATTTTTTAGTTCCACTGGCAGGAACAGTCCAGAGGCTCTTGAAAATTGTACTCCACGACTGTGGCATTGCGAGAGCAGTAAAGTGTGACGGAGCGGGTTTGCAGTCCACTCTCGCGGCAGCATTTACAGAACCGGGCGTGACTGTTGATGTTAAAGTTGAATATGGTGGCAGACGGGCATTTTCCATCACAAGAATAGACTGTTACCTGTAAGAGGAGGGGACAGGATGATGACAGGAGGAGTTTTTTTAATTTCTTTTAAATAATATAATAATGATAATTTAGTTAGCATGTCTTGATTTTCTCACCGGTGCGTTGCTCCTGCAATCATCTTTTCTAATGGTAGTTCGAATGGCCACACGTTTGCAAGTCTTACCATCCTCTTTACCTACACACACGTTCACACAGAAATACGCATACACAGAGTAACACTCAGAAATAAAAAATAATTGACGTTCAAAGACATTCAGATGCAAGTTCATACATAAATGCACTCACACTCACACACACACACACACACACACACACACATACAAAATGGTAAACGTATGCTCACACACAAACTCTCTGATCGTTTTACTGCAGAGATCTGTCACTCACACAAACCCGAGAGGCCTATAGAGCAGGTGTTTTTTGTTGCCCAGCAGTAGGAGCTTGCTTTGATTGACAGTTGGGTGACGGGAGGGGCACACTCCTCACAGCAGAGATTGGTTTCTCTTATTGGCTACCGCCCTAAACTTAACCTTACTTCTAAGCCAATCAAAGCTTGTCAAAAGGATTATGTGTAGAGCTGGAATGTAGGAAAAGAGTAAATGAGCTTCAGCTTTTTCTTAAAGGATGAATGTGTAACACTGGAGCTTATTTAGTTTCACAACTGATGTTAACACTTTGATTTAATAAAGCCTTCTCTCTTATAGTAAACATTGCATATTGTCTGATGGATAGTTTGGCACTATTAATTAGATTAATGCAAGGTTAGATGTTGTTCATGTTATGGCTGCACAATTAATCGAATATAAATCGTAGCTCATCAAATGAAGCGCTTCCTAAACCAACAGCCAGATGGCGATCGAGAGGTTTTGGCTTCACCTTTGTAGAGCTGTCATGCCGCTACACACGCACCCTAAAAAAAAGCAGCCTTTGAAAAACTAAACGTTACTGCTGCAGTCTAAAAGAGTCATACACTGTGTATTACATGTTTTGCATGTCTGCTCTCTGTTCTATTATAAAACAGAGAGCAGACAGGCAAAACAGAAATGCACTGAATTCAGTTAAAGAACAACCTAATTTGATGCAAATGTTCGTACATTAGCATAAATAAAGCACAGCATGTGAAAGTGCAATAAAAATATGTTGTCTCTAAAACGAATAATCGTGTTGTATAATCGTGATCTCAATTTTTTTGAAAAATAGTCGTGATTATCATGATGGTATAAGCCTTAGCTCATGTTGTCGTGTGTTTTGGGGGTTAACCAGTGAGAGGAAGAAAATGAAAAGACAAGACAATAAATTAGACAATAGACTCACATTCACACAAAGCTTGAAATTGCAGGTGAATGAGTCACTGAGTGCCAGGATGCCAAATAATCATTGTGAGTGGGACAGTGCAAAGTGGTGGTACCTGTGTCACAGTTAGTACTACCAGTAGGGGTTACGGGATTAACGGTAAACGGTAAAAGACCCACTCCAGAACCTGGGAGCATCGTCAGGATCGCAGCCGCCGGGTTCAAAGAATGTCATGAGAGCACACACAAGGTTACGTTTGGTTCACAAAAACACAGTACAGCGTAACACACAAACACACAGAGGAGCAAATCAGTGCAGCTGGCATGCACATGGATTTTATTTCTTTTTTGGGCCACTCCGGGCAGCCAGCCAAGGAACTCAGTCATTTGATGTACTACAAAGAGCAGCTCAGCAGGGCGAACTCAAACCCCTGCACCATCTCACATCCTCATTGGTAAAACGCTCACCGTGGAGAAACCTTATTGGCCAAACTGCAAGGTCGCTGCAAAAGCAGGCAAGCGGGCGAGGCTGCATTGCCGAATCCACAGAGGAGAGAAAAATGTCACCACTGCATGTTTATTAAAGCTTTAATCCAAACAATTAAGAAATGTCTCATTACTTAATATCATTTTGTAAAGTAGACATGAAGAACAGTTCACACGACATCATCTTGAAAGCACAAGTTCAGGAATATATGTATATTGCCTTAGTAATCCTATTAAATGTTGTCGTATTTCATCAGCCTATTAAATGTATTGATCATTTCCACCAAATATTGCTTTTGTCTAAGCTCTGCTGGCTCTTGTGTCAACAGAAGGGGAACAACCTGGGAAAGCGAGGGATTGTGGGAAATGTAGTGAAAGGCCAACAAATGGCTTTATCTCCACCCTCTACAACAGGCCACCCCCAACCACTCAGCCAAAAAGCCCAACCACTGCCAGGCAACAAGGCGCTCACCACTTTGACAGCTCAAAGCATTACCAGAAGCATCAAATAAATTTGGAGACTCACATGTCCTGCAGCAACCGTCCACATAGCTCTGAACCACACCGCCATACTGTAGGACGAGAGTAAGATGAGAAACCAGAGTTCATGATGGGAAAAACTATTTAAAGAGTCAAAAATAAACATTTTAATACATAACACGGGTGCACTTATCAACTAGCCTCCAGTCATAATTGACAGTTAAAAGTTGAAAGTTGATATAAAAATATTTGCCAACTGCTACATCAATACAAAATGACTGTGAGCAGGGAATGAATCTGTATTATACGGCATCCATTTTAACAACTATAATTGTGCATTAGATCGGTTCTACCTGAAACTGAATGCAAAAAAACAAGTGGCTTCAAGAGTTTAACCTTAAATTCATTTACATAGTACATTTCGAGGTCCTGACCTGAATACACTCTGTTTCATTGAAAGGCAGACAAATCACCCCAGAGGCAAGTATCACTGCACCCACTGCTGTTTCCATGCAGTCGTAACGTGTACAGTTCTCCACCCAGGAACTCCCTGCCTGCACACACAATCAGAATAAGCACTGCTCAAAAAAGTGGAGCATTGAGCAAATGTGGATGTATTTGTTCTTACAGCAAAAAGCTCTGCTGTCCCGTTTTCATTGTTGAAAGTACAGGAGACATTTTTACAGGAGCCGCAGCACACCTGAGGGTCCGTGGACGTTACGTACACCTGGTGCTAAAAAGATGAGCCGAATGCAGAAATGAAAAATGAGTACAAGACACAGAAGGGAAGAGAAGTAGACGAGGCATGTGCGAAATGTTGTAAATGTGGAAACATACAGGCCCACATTTTTGGGAGCAGTTGACAGAGGAAATGTCCATGGCGTAGAAGCCAGAATCTGGATCTTTGTGATGCAGGCAGTGAACAGCGTAACACATCTCTCCTTCAAAGTACTGAACCAGAGACTGGCCTGGGCCCAGCACTGTTAC